TAAAAGTTGTTTCCATACTGAAAAAATGGAGAGTACAAGATTACATAAACCTTAGAACGATGCCGCGGAAAATTCTTTTACGAGCCATGAATCACCTCAGTTAAACTTGTCTACGTTGCAGAGGGCATAGTGGAAATTTGATGCGTTTATTACAAAATTTCGAAACACAAAATATCACACCATATTTTGTAATTATGAACATGTCATTCTGTTCGATTGTAAATGCAGCAAAATTTTACAAAATTTTACACTTTCAAATACGAAACAATTAACAGTTCCGAATCTCTGACACTTTTAAAAGCAAAAAAATATTTCGTTACATTCCAAGAAATGTTGTTGTATAGACTACGCTGCGAATCTTCATGTAAATTTTCATTTTCATACGACATTTTACTAAAATTAGGATTGAAGAAAAACATTTAACAATTAATAGATTTCTCATTGTCAGAAGAAGATAGAGACGTCACAGACCGTTTGAAAAATTTTAAAATCTGCAAGTGCAATTACTGATAATTGCATCAATAGCGAACTTGTAAATTACAATGCACTATGTGCTACAAATAATATTGTGGTATAATATAATGTAGTGCTAATAATAATATCTTGACTGTTCAGTTAAAATTTTAGCATTAAATAATATCACGTTATAAGAGCCTTCCAAAATTTCTGATGGCCAAATGTACTGAAACTTAAGTTCAACATTATTTACATCACGCTTCAACGCGCCAGACAAATCCATTAAAAATTTTATTATTATGCAAAGAATCTCGCAAATGATATATGTATGAGCATACTTATTTCACGCTTCTTGTACAATGAAATCGAACGTTAAAGGAGTTTTACATCTTTATTTCGTATTCGAAATATCACAATTCTAAAAACCAATTAATGAAATTTGCTTAGCACTGCGTTTTCCTGTCAATTTGTTTTTTCTGTCAAAAATTTGAATACAGGAGACACACCTTTATATTTGAATATGTGACGTAAACGCGAATGTTTCTAAAACATACAAAGTTTCTGGGAGAATCTGCATCGTAAGTTTAGTTAGTAAGTTTAAAGTTCAAAATTGTGCAAAGCTTATCGACATTATCGACATTTAGAAGCACTTAACGATAAATTACATGTATCTCATATATCAATATAACATTTTCGAAATAGTTATAAATTAACATTTCTTAAAATACGCGTATATTACGTGTGTTAGTGCTAGTTAATCCTATGACATATCATAATCAAGTCATTGATCAGTTTTGATCAAGTGTATAAAATATATCCCTAACAAAGTAGATTATTCATGCCAGAAATATATTCTTAACAAGAGTAGTAAACATTGTCGAAAAGTTTTTTAACAGAAATTCTGTAAACTCGATTTGAAGAATTGACAGCGGATATAACTTGTTGATCGTTAACGTTTTTTAAATGATTTCTAGATAAGAAAATAAATATAATTTTTGTTCGATCTTTTATACAATGTCGCTCGTCGTCGTTAACATATTCCAGAAGTAAAATATTCCAGGCGATCTTTTCTTAAAGAATGATCTCACTGCCTACAACTGCGTTATAATACGACCGAAAAAATTTCAGTATACTAGTTGACAGATTCCGTTATTTGTCTTGTTTCAGCAACCAGTTCTGAGAGAACTATGTTCGGTAAAAATGGTGGCAAACTTACAGCCTTCATTAATAAAAATGTTAATAATATGACTTTTGCACACAGCCTTCAAATTCGTGAAATTTTAGAAAGTCTGATTTCACAACCTGAATTATATCATTCTTACTATTTCCAGCAATCTTTATTTCAAATACTCCTTTATGATGAAATAATATACGTTCTAACTATAAAGAATTCTTTCACAACTGTCGCTACGTATGCAAATAACAATTCTTCAAATTAAAAGCGTATAAGATCAATTTTTCAAGAACCTAAACACGATAGTGATTCGTAGAAGTTTCTCAGCACCAATAATGCTTTAAAATATCGTTCAAACATAACGGGTTAAAGATCACAAGAAGCAGTATAGTTACGTATATATCTAGTTGTTTATCATAAGAGTTCATTATGTCTGCACATGTTCTCACTTAGCAGATAAATTGTTCATTACCAGTGTACACGATAATACAGCCTAATTAAATACTTCAGATAATCACGAATCGAAAGTATCACCGATGCAAGAAAAAAAGTTACAATATTTTCAAACTCCGCATTGGTGTTTTTGTAAACGCACATCCCATTGACATTTCCATAATTAGGTCACGAGACGGTTATTCATTCCTTATTGCGTTTATTTTTGAATAAACAAATTTAATATCTCTTATTCGATAAAATTTATAATTAATTATACCCGAGGACAAACTAAAGCCTCCACTACCCCGTGCAAACAATATCGTAAATTCTGGAAAACAATAGTACTTAAATAAACCATGTCCCACAAGTAAACCTAGAAACTACAATCCACATCGTCGAGAAGCAACGCTGCGTTGAATCTAAACAACAGCCTAATCTAAACATCTAAACATCTAAACAACGGCCTAATCTAACGTTTTTATCTTTTTAAAATGAACCACGTACAATCATCGAACCTTAAATGGAACTGTGTCCCAAGTAAACACAGCACCTATAGTGCACGTGTGCTGTTGCGAAACAACGCTGGATTGAAATAAACATCTTAACCATAAATCTGATCCACCGATGCTATCTTTCTATCACTTTCACGGCCGCGTTACAAACCTAAAAAATTTCATAAAATTAAAGTGAATAATTTATTTCAATTAAATTAAATTTGCACAGCGAGGTATATGACGTCAATTACTTTTTGAACATTCTTACTTCTTGCTAGTCTTAATGAAATTAAGAAATTATAATGGATCAGCGTAAAAATTAATTTTTAAAAATTAAATTTCAATCGACTCTGTCACTCACACATGGTTGACGCGGCAGCGTTGATAGTGTAATTATGATCCACTTTTATAATAGCGCGATTATGATTATTCTTTGTTAATAATATGAATAGTTTTGTGAACAATATGATTCAATTTTACCAATATATTTATATGTATAATCTGCTAATAATACAATTATGACACATTTTTGAAAAATCTGTGCTGAATCGGTTTTTCTAATTCGAATTTCCGCGGTCATGCATGCGTACGTGACACCGGCCGTCAAAGTGTTGAAATTAACCACGCGAAATCGTCAACGCTGAAATGAACCGTGTCCCAAGTAAACGCAACAATGACAGTTTACGTGCATCGTTGAGGAACGAAACTGGGTTGAAATATACATCTAAACAACGAATCTAAAGCACCGATGCTATCTCTAAGACCAGCCGCATAAAATTGTCGACGCACGAACGTTTTTTCACCTGCCGTTTTACGCGGCGGTAGAGTTCAAGAATGAGACGAACTTCGTGCAGCTAATTAAATGTGAAAATTCCCGGACCGCGGTTGTGAAGCGGTGACGAGGATCAACCGTGACCAACGACGCAACGCTAATCAGCGGCCAATCTCTTTCCACGATTATCGTGTAAAGTGCAGCCGCGAGGTTGCTGCAACCGCGGCGCGCAGGGGCACCTATCCAGGGGCCGGTTGCTCCTACCATCGGCTTTTTATCCCCGCGAGGAGTCGTTACTTTTTTCGTGAGCGGAGGAACGTGTTATCGAGAGGAACGTCGAAGGGAAAGTTCTGGCGGCGCTGGACAGTCGCTGCCGGCCAGCTTATAAGATTCGACGCAGGGTGCCGCGGGTTCGGAACAAGGTGAACGGGTTTTACTAGCGCATTGTATGTGCAGGCTTCCGATCCGCGTCGCGAGCCGATGCAATTTTTCGTCGTCCGATCGGCCACGCCACTTTCCGACCGCAAGCCCGGCCCCGCGAGTACGCGAAAAATCGGCCTCGAGTGCTCGCCGCATTCCTCATCGCGAACTTGCTTCCGCAGCGGTTTTTCGGTGCTGACACCGGGACCAGCCGCATAACTGCGCGCGGTACCAACGCGACCGGCGTCGATCGCGATTATGAGTGTCGGTGGTTCATGAGGCAGCCACCTCGAAACAGTGGTACGAAGCGAGAACCGTCGAAACGAAACGAGAAGATCGGGCCCGCCAGCACTCTGAAACGGTAAATACCGGCCAGCATCCTGTCCGGCGTCGATCGTCGGGACTAGGGACCGTGCATGCAGAAAACTGGTATCTCGTGAATGGTTCGGAGTTCCGCCGGGACGCTGCTGAGACGCTTCACCTATCAGGTAAATTCCTCGTACGTACTCGCCTGTGACCAACAGATTCAGTAATCGTTCTCTTGCGTTTCTGAGTTAGTCGAGAGACCCGACGGAAATCTTAACGATCTATACACCTTCGGTTTTCCAATAGTTCTTCTCAAAGTGTGTGTCAATTGGGAATATCGTGAATGACCGAGTCACCGAGTTGTTCGTTAATCGTTCTCTTGCGTTTCGTAGGTAATCGCTAGAGTTTGCGAAAATTTTGACATTGTCCATCACTGGTTTTCCAATCGGGTTTTTTTTTAGTTCAACATCGACAGTACAGAAGTTTTTGAAAAACCAGGTTGACAAGAGATCCTTTAGTCGTCCCCTTGCGTTCTTTTAGTTAGTCGTTAGAGTTTGCGAAAATTTTGACATTGTCCATCACTGGTTTTCCAATCGGGTTTTTTTTTAGTTCAACATCGACAGTACAGAAGTTTTTGAAAAACCAGGCTGACAAGAGATCCTTTAGTCGTCCCCTTGCGTTCTTTTAGTTAGTTGTTAGAGTTTGCGAAAATGTTGACATTGTCCATCACTGGTTTTCCAATCGGGTTTTTTTTTAGTTGTATATCGACAGTACAGAAGTTTTTGAAAAACCAGGTTGACAAGAGATCCTTTAGTCGTCCCCTTGCGTTCTTTTAGTTAGTCGTTAGAGTTTGCGAAAATTTTGACATTGTCCATCACTGGTTTTCCAATCGGGTTTTTTTTTAGTTGTATATCGACAGTACAGAAGTTTTTGAAAAACCAGGTTGACAAGAGATCCTTTAGTCGTCCCCTTGCGTTCTTTTAGTTAGTCGTTAGAGTTTGCGAAAATTTGAACACTCTATTTATCCAGCAGTTTCTCGATGTAGTCGTTTCTTGAATGTCCAAGTCATCAAGTTGTTCGTTAATAATCGTCTTCTTGCGTTTCTTACTCATTTGAATGAGGAAGAGCTCGTAAAAATCTTGACGCTCTGTTCACTATCTGTTTCCCGATAAGCATTTTTAAATATAATGTTAACAGTTCACAATTCCTTAGAAGATCAAGTCACCGAGTGATTCATTGAGCGTCCTCTTACATTTCTTAGTTATTTGAATGAGGAAGTATTCGTGAAAATCTTGACACTCTATCTAGCGACGGTTTTCCTGCAGTCCTTATCAGACCAAACGTGAATAGAATTACAGAAATAGAATAGAAAAGAAAAGCAACAGTTTCATTCATGGGTCAACAGATTATATGGATTAGTGTGATGTAACGACTTCATTTGAAATTGGTATTTACACGAAGAGTATCGAACCACCTGTGAATTAAGCATTAATAATAGTTTGTTTGTTGGATAAATAAGTTACTAAAATGCTCTGTATCACTGAACTTTTTCGCCCCCATTTTGTTTGTGATCGTCGAAATAGTCGGACTTAATTCATATATTTTTATAGCGATTTCTTGACCATGAATTTTGATGCAGTAGATTTTCTGTATCAGTCTGAAGAAACAGGAACTAAATAGTAATTTTAACGAATTGAAATTAGTATACTGTCAGCCTGGAATTTTTTCTACTCTCTTCAATAGTACCTCTTCAATTTTGTCACAAACTTTTGCACGACAGAACTTGTGCTTTTTCACTTGTTCATAAGTGTGGTTGTCTTTGACAGTCGGAGACTGACGCGATTTTTAGAACTTTTAAGAAACGAGTCCAATGAAAATATGAATTGCAAATCTTCTAACCGGACTTATCAACCTGCACAGAATGTAAACAAACTGTTACGTACTAATGCAACGAATATATTGTCGATGATAGTGGTTCGGTTAAAATGCTTTACAAACATATCTGTGATTGCGACAGCCTGTGAATTTCTGAAATGCAAAAAAATTAATAACATTTTCATTCTGTATTTATCACAACGAATCCTCGAGTCAAGAATAATCGTTTCTGTTTCTATAAAATTACAAATGAAAATGGAAAATTACATAAGGAACCGCTGCGTGTCATAACATTAACCGACGTAGTTGCATGAGTTGAAATTTTTTTTCATCTGTATGAATTTATGTTGCTTACATTAAAACGATTGAAAATGATGAAAACGATTCATGAAAATTAAATATTGCAGAAACAATTTTTAATTTAATAGGGAATGGAACACTTACTGTCATGTTTGAAATACATTTGAGGATCGTCTTTGACGCATCGTGTCAAACGATTACAAAAAATATTGTTTCAAATATGTGACCAATAAACTATTTTAAGTCTAGCAGCATTCTTTCAATTCCTTTACCATATATGTATAAAAATTACACTTTCGAGGTATATGATTAAGGAAATAGTACAAATAATTGCCCCGTGTGCGACTGTCAATCTTTCTAGACTACTTAAGAGACATAAACGTAATAATCACGTTTAGCTTTATTATCATTATCGCCCATAAAGCTATTACGACTTGGTCGCAAAAGTAATTATATATTTCGTTTTATTTCGATTGAAAACATTAGTAGCTATAAATGTCGAAGTGTATCAACTGTTATTTGAAGAAAAAGTGACCCCTATCGATTAAATGTTATTATGAGGGCTATTAAAAGTTCAACAATAATGCTACTGCGATATCCTATAAAACCGTAACTTCACAAAAAGACTGAAGGCAAACTTCATACAAATATAGTACGATATATTTTAACAAATTGGAAAATTAGTGAATAATACCGAACACTTGTTTAACAAAGTTAAGAATTTAATGGAATGAATATTTATACCAAATACCTACTCTTTCCAATGTGAAAAAGAAATATAAACGATTGCACTGGAGTCAGAGAAATATGTAGAATTTCATGGAATGAATATTTATACCAAATACCTATATACTCTTTCCAATGTAAAAAAGAAATATAAATGATTGCACTGGAGTCAGAGAAATATGTAGAATTTAATGGAATGAATATTTATACCAAATACCTATATACTCTTTCCAATGTGAAAAAGAAATATAAATGATTGGACTCGAGTCAGAGAAATATATAGAATTTAATGGAATGAATATTTATACCAAATACCTATATACTCTTTCCAATGTGAAAAAGAAATATAAATGATTGGACTCGAGTCAGAGAAATATATAGAATTTAATGGAATGAATATTTATACCAAATACCTATATACTCTTTCCAATGTGAAAAAGAAATATAAATGATTGGACTCGAGCCAGAGAAACGTGTAGAATATGTCAGAATCAGATGACAATTTATATAAACAATTAACATATTAAAATTGGAAACACTTGATTTAAAACACGATGTTTCACAATATGCCCGAACACAATTTAGATATTTAGATAGATAATGTTTTATGTCTAAGCAGTAGCAACTACAAATTGTAACACGATAGGCCATGAATATAGATTAAAAAATCTGGTTGAGAGATACCTAATCTTCTCGCGATACCAATGACAACGTTGTGTTCTTTGTGAAAGAAGCGTCTAACGCGAGCAAACGCGTACGTAATCGTCTCGGGATGGAATTTCATACTCGGCACCGATAAACTATTACCATGGAATCGCTAATGAACGTTCTTGAACACTCAGCTGCTCAAGATTTCTCAGAAGAGAAGCAACGAGCGTGCACACCGTTCGAAACACGCAGCAACCGAGTGCATTCGATCATCGCGAGAAACTGGCGTGAGATTAATTGATAATTGCTTTTGTTGATTGGTGTAATGATAATCCATAAGAGACTTTACTTCTCCACTCGGGCGGCTTCGTTCGCGAGACCAGCAGCGTGCACGGTTCACAGAAGACGAGAAACTGAAGGAGTAATGCCCGAAGAATGTAGGCCTTCTTAATGGGACATGTGGCCGCGCGTGAAAGTAATCGTAGAATTCGGAGCAAAAACCAAATCTTTAACATGGTCAGGTCCAGTTATGAGCGTCGGCACGTTATGTCAATACTACGGGATGTAGGATAGACAAAGACTTTCTCTTAGCGCTTTCTCTGGTCCGTAGCTCGCGATCGAACAAACTACGTGTGCAGGAGCAGAGACTGAACTATTAAAATCTTATGTTAATACAAAGTCATAAAAAAAGATCAGAGTCATTCACATATATACCGTTAAAGACCCTGCCCTCCGCCATTGTGCGTAATTCCCGTTATTTATACGTTATTCATGGAAAAAATTCGATTGCTGATTCTAAACGTAGAAAGCCGAATTTCTTTATTTATATTGCTAATATAAATAATTGATACATCTTAAATAATATGCGATTATTATAATCATTTGTGAAGTGGACGGTAATAAAAATAATTCTTGGAGAAAGTAAGCCACCACATACAGCAAATTGTTGAAATACTGTCGAATAATTGTCTAAAGCAGTATAATTTTAATTTTGTTTCGCATAATTTTGGCAGCGGAAACGATTTTTATCTCTCGAAATGGATACAGTTTTATTCAAATGAAAGATGAACAAAACTAATTAGTATCCACTTATATATGTATAATGATTCAAAGAGTAGTTGTTCCAGGAATATTAAATATTTCTTTTACCTTGTCTCTACAATTATTATTTGAATGCATGCATTTATAGTTTACAAACAAATTGGAATATGTAGATACCATTGTACTAATATTCGCACTATTGTGGTAAAAAAGCAAGCGAAAAATCGATGGTTTTTATATTACATGCATGTATGAATGGTTATGCAGTGTAATATATTTGTTAGATAGTTATACAATCAGTAAACGTCTAAAATATATTCAGTAACAGTAATATTACACAACAATGTATGTATGTACGAAAATATGTGTACATAGAAACTATCTAATATAACTAAATGGTACAATTAATATAGAAATGTAACAATGAATAGATTCATGAAGTCACGCGGATTTGTTTAATAATAACACGAATTAAGTGATTGAATGTTTGCTCAGCCCATTGTAAATGACAATACGTATTTTCCTACTGCTACTTTAGTCCCATCATTTTATGCATTACTGAACTACAAATTGCTTACCGTTACTAGACTGCTGATTGCATGTGTTGCAACCACACTAGTCATGTCTGTACGAATACCCATTTTATCAATCATCGATCATGCGAACATAAAATTTCACTAATATCTCACATTTTGTTCAATCTATTTTGGTTTGCAAGATCTATAATTGCATGAGATGAATAATATGTGTGTACATTAAATATAATACAGATTTCATGTCGATCATCTGTTCTTAAAGCTTACAACAGTTTTAATTTGCACAATCTTTTGCTGAATTTTTCAGATATCAACAATCTAACCACTGTAAAAATATACTCGCGCTTTACAAACATATTCAATAAATTTCCGTGGAATGCGCCGAATAATTTTTCTGTTGCACTCAATATTCTTGTCGAACCTTGTTTAACACGTTCCGTGCCACGTGTACCATCGATGGTACACGCTTGCATGTTTACTTAGTGAACTGAACAAATTGTTTACAAGAAATTTAGAACCGAAGAATCAATTTCCACCGCAAGAATGGGCGTTGATAAGTTTTTGTTACGTTGTTATGTGTACGAGAATTAATAATTGCACGTAATACATCAAGTTTTAGTAAAATATCAAAGTGTGAAGATTCGA